GCTCCCCCACTCCTCACACTGGGTTTGCAGTGCGCGGCCTCGCCACCTCCCTACCAGGGCAAACCCCCTCTCTCCCCCTAGGTGCTGCACTTGACGTCCATAGAAGGCGCGCGGCAGAGGCGGGAGGGAGGCGGGGAGAATCTAGCTCGCTCTGGCAGGGAGGCAAGGGTGTGATAGAGTGTTTTGGGTGAGAACAGGCGGAGTGTGTATGCCTGTACGCGATTGGGAGAGCACTCGTGACGAGGCATGGTTAGGCGAGTGGCAGTCGCTAGTGCGGACTTGCTAAGTCGTGTGTGCTCCCTTTTGCTTGCTAAGACTGGAACAATCTTTCTTTTTTTGACGCACGAACACACTACACAGAGGGACAGTGCGCACCCCGCCCCGCTCGCAGGGCGTGCAGCACACAGCGGCAACACAAGACATATCTACGCTGTGCGCCTCCTCGGGATTTCTGGGGAGGTAGAAGTGATGAGCAACCTCTGTGCGATTTGAGCCCGTTTTCTTCAAACTGAAGTTGCCCTCGCGCACAGCAGCGCCGGAAGCGCGGTGCAGCCTGCTTCCACTGGACGCGGCCCCGCATCATTCGACTCGGAATGGCATGCAACGCATCATGGGCGCTGACGGCCGAGGAGGCCGCCAAGCGCCTCGACGTCGACCTCTCCGTCGGCCTGGATCGCGCCGAGTCAGAGCGCCGGATCGTCCTGCACGGCCCGAACGCCATCCCAGACGAGCCACCGACCCCGTGGCTCCGCCTCATCCTCGCACAGTTTGACGACCTGCTCGTCAAGATGCTGGTGGGAGCGGCGGCCGTTTCATTTTGCCTGGCAATGGGCGAGGAGGCCGGGGAGCGCCTACATGCTCTCGTTGAGCCGCTCGTCATCGTCCTCATCTTGCTGCTCAATGCCGTCGTCGGTGTGTGGCAGGAGTCGAACGCCGAGCAGGCCATCGAGGCGCTCAAGGCGTACGAGCCCAACGACGCGGAGGTATGGCGCGAGGGGGCGTTGTGCGTCATCGCTGCCTCCGAGCTGGTGCCTGGCGACGTCATCCGCGTCGCAGCGGGCGGCCGCGTGCCGGCAGACTCGCGACTGGTGGCTCTCGAGTCGACAACGCTCCGGCTCGACCAGGCGCTCCTCACGGGCGAGTCGGTGCCGGTGATGAAGGAGACGGCCCCTGTCGCCGACGCCGACGCCGAGATCCAGGCGAGGCACAACATGCTCTTCTCGGGCACCACGGTCTCGTACGGTGCAGGCAAGGCACTCGTCGTCGCGACGGCCGCGTCGACTGAGATAGGGAAGATTGGCGCGCAGGTTGCCCGCCCACAGTCTCTATCCGGATATGTTGTGGCCCCGAGGGACCTCAAGATCTCGCGCGAGTGGCTGCGGATAGGTCTCGGCGACGGAGACGGCCGCCTCGCCGCTGAAGGCCCCCCCCTTGCCCCCCCCCCCCCCCC